TGATGCGGGGTCCCTTCTGGCTCACAATGACCTATAGGGCAGGTTAGAACTGCCCCTGAGGGTTTGCAAGGAGGTCGTAACTCTTTATGGGAGTAGAAAGCCTCATCTTTCTCCCTGGGAGCAGCTGGTGGTTTCAAACTGCTGACCTTATGGTTATCAGCCCAATGCATAAGCACTATACCACCAGGGCCCTTTTGCACTTTGAAAATGGCCTGTGGAGAACCATCCCTTAGACAACATCCTCTTCCTCTCTCACCTCACTGACGGGGATGGGCTTCATCTCTTTGCAGCAACCCTATGCTTAAATAAGCTTTGGCTTACCCATTTGCTGCTGCTGCTGCTGCGTGTATGTGTGTGCGTGTGCATGACACACGTGTGCTCCTGGTTTATCTTTGGCTCCTCACGATCTGCACAGCCAGAGCTAGTTGGTTCCTCAGTGGAGGACAGCCCAGTGCTAAGAAGCCGGGCCTGGCATTCCTGTGCGGACCGAACGTCACAGGACATGTTCCAGGCGTCGTGCACCCCTTCAGTTGGCCTTTCGGGGGCCTTCTTTCTTGCTGCTGCTGTGAAATAAGGAAGTGCACTCATTTCCTCCGGCTGCCATTTACTTTGTCCCAAAGGACCACCGCATGGGTGACTTGACACAGCATTGTCTCAGAGCGCTGGAGACCAGCTGTCTGAATTCATTGGCAACATTTTTGCTTCCCTGCTCCTCCCACTGCCCACCTTCCAGAGCCTTCTCTGGTGGCACTTCCTCAGCCCAATCCCTTTGTCAGCTTGCTCCAGGGTGCACGCAGACCCTGCAGCCTTCTCTTCTTTAACTCCCTGCTCTCCTGGTGTCTGACCTGCCACATGCCCCAGCTCCCCCATCCATTCAGGCTTGGCCTCCCGCAGAGGACTCCAAGGACTGTGTGTGTGTGTGTGTGTGTGCATGCGCGCTCCTACTGCAGGGGCCGCCTTGCCCCTCTGGTGACAGCACTTTGTAATGTTGCTCTCTCTGTCTGTACTTGGAGAGACTGTGCCTGCCCAGCTTGACAAGTGAGGCTGCCTCTCCGCTGCCTTCCTCCTCTCCTCCTCCTTCCCGGAGGCAGGTGTCCTGGCCAGCGGTGACAAGAAGTGCTTCCCTCAGGAGCTGGCTGGCGTCCAGCCTCATCCCTTGTGCCCAGGCAAGCTGAATTTCCCCCCACTCATCCTCTGAACCTCCGTTCCATTTCCTCTGCCTGGAACCTCCTTCCCCAAATGCTGCTGGCTGAAGTCCTGGCTTTTCTTCAAGTCCGGCACCAGGACAATCGCCTCCCAGAAGGTGTTCCTGGGTCTCCCTAGCAATCCCTCCTCTGAGCATCCAGCATCGGCAGCCTGGTCGCACCCAGATGCTGAGATCCACTTGGTGCTGGGACCAAGTCGGATGATTCCCATGTTTCCTGGGGAAGTGCCTGGAATGTAGTACATGCTCAGTCAGTGTTTCATGAATGAAGGAGTGACGGACTGAATAAATGAATGAGTACAAGCATGGGTAAGTGAGGAGGCAGGAAGCAATGTGCAGATGGAGAGGCGCTGTGTAGAGTGGGCAGCGGGCGAGCAAGTGAACCCGGAGAAGGCTTCCAGACTCCAGAGGCTGCCGCTCCACTGCTCTGCTTACACAGTCGTGGGACCCAGCCGACAGACTCTCTCCCATGGAACACTGACAGTTGTGACCACCTGAGCCCTGGGGTCATGTCTCTGCCTTGAATTTACTTGTTGGGTTGTCTTGGAGGCTCTCAGTCTGGTGCCCTTAGAGCTGGCTGACCGTTGACCTGACCTGGAGCCCACTTCCCTTCCGGGGCCTGCCTGGCAGTCTGTGCCCATCTGGAGCTCCCAGTTTGGTTCATCTTTGTTGCTGGGCATGCTCATCTCCTCCTTGTGGTCCGGGTGTCTGAGGCTAGCCCCCACTGAGTTCCTGTGGAGATGGGCCACCCAGATGCCCCTTGGAGGAAGGACTTGCTTACAGCTGTGGGGAGTGTGGGTAGCCCACAGTGCCAGCCCTGAGCTCGTTGAAGACCTGTCTGTGGCGGAGGGCAGAAATGAGGAGACACTGAGGCCCAGCAGTTGCCGCCCCACATGGACTCTGAAGAGCAGCACCCCTCCAGCGTGGCCCTGACCTGCTGTCGGGGCTTCCGCAGATCAGCCTCACATGTTGACTCCTTCCTGTGCCCCATCCTGCTTTCCCTGCCCTCCCCAGAGGCACTGGCCCCTATCCAAAGTCCTGCAGGCCAGATGTCACTGTTAGAGAACGCGACCCCCAACAATTTCCTTCGGTTGATCTTCCTGCCCCCCGCAACCAGTTCCGGTTCATGAATATCTATGAAGGCCCGGAGAGAACCTGACACCTCAGGTATGCCTGTCCCTGGGAGGTGCCTCGCCCCTCCTCATCCTCACCCCATACTATCTCTCTCCATGACACTGACTCTCCCTGCTCCGCACCCTGTGTCTCTCTCCGAGAGTGCCCCCTGTGGCAAGGGCAGCCAGGCCAGACAGCCCCTCAGGGCCAGTTCTGCCGCTGCAGCAAGCAGGTCCTGGGAGAGCCACCATTCAAAGCTGGACGGACACATACGGACCCACTGCCATCCAGTCGGTTCTGACTCAGAGCGACCTCGTGGCACAGACGAAAACTGCCCCTTTGGGTCTCTGAGATCTTAAATCTTTACAGGAACAGATAGCCTCCTCTTCCTCCCACAGAACAGCTGGTGGGTTTGAACCGCTAACCTTGCAATTAAGAACTAAGGGCATCACCCACTGTGCCACCACAGGAAGTTCACTATTGTGCAGGCTTCAAACGGTGCTCTTCAAAGATGGCAGAGCATTGAATTTGGGGGCTTAGTAACCTTTTTTATTTCTTCCTATTAATCACAGGGCAATTCTTGATTGGAGGGAAACTGAGATCTTGGCTACTTATTCTCAATGGAACCCAATACTTCCCCTGTTTGAAACTGTCCTTCAGTTTAAGAGTTTTCTGTCATTCTTAGATGTTGCAAGTCCCTCATATCTCCAAGAAAATAAAGGACCTGTTCAGACACAGCAACAGTTCTTTAAAAAACCTTCTCTCTGGTTTCTGAATAAAATAAGGCCTGCTTTCTGAGGCTCTTCATTTCTCTTCTGTGGTTTTCTAAACCAGACAGCTTCTTGGGAGAGCCATAAAAGGGTACCCATTTTCATTCATAACATAAATGCATTGTTCCCAGCAACCAGCTGTATGGGATTCCATAGTTCTGGGGCTGGTGGCAGGCAGCTGTCAGCAGGCAGGCCTCAGGGTTAGGCTCACTGCAATTTTCATTTGCAAAACTGAAAATCCTCAGAAGAGCAGGTAAGAACTGGTTTCTCAAAGTGTCCACTGGAGGGAGCTGCTTCCTCTGCCACCCGGAATAGAATCAGCTGTGGTAACTCGAATGAATGCATCTATTTACAATGAATTCGGTGTGAGTTCGGGGTCTGATTTACAAATAAATCCAGTGCAGAGCTGGTCCACCATACAGACCAGGGCTGTATTCGGTCACTCACTCTTTGGACATATCTTAGGCCCATCCTGTGAGCAGCTTCAGAACTGACTCCAGTGGTGGCATCAGGGTTGATGTCACCCAAGACAGTAACTCATGGTATGAATTCTCCTCCCTGCCCATAGACCTCCCCCTGTACAAGACCGTTCAGAATCCTTAGCCATGGTTATTAGTAACTTTACTCATAGAATAAACTCCACACTCGGCCACCCAATCAATTCTGACTCATAGTGCCCCTGTAGAACAGAGTAGAACTGCCCCTGGGGGTTTCCAAGACCATAACTCTTTACAGGAGTAGAAAGCCTCATCTTTCTCCCTAGGAGTGGCTGGTGGTTTCCAACTGCTGACCTTGCCGTTAGCAGACCAATGCCCAACCACCACTCTACCAGGGCACCAATAGACTAACCGGTGATAAATATAATGGCAGGTTGCTTCAATTTAATATTTCCCACATGATACAAATGCTAACAACAAACCTGTTTTGTGAAATTTTTCTTTGTTGAATTATGCCATTGTCAGTTACAGGCTTATTAGTAATTGAGTGGCAGCCTTTTAATTGTTTTCCTCCTTTCCTTTAATTACGACTTCAGTCTCAAAAAAAAAAGTTATTGATATAGGCTCACAAATTCTAATGACCACAATCTTGTAGCCCAAACTCCAGAAACGACAAAAGCAGTGACGATAAAAACCCAGGAAACCCAGAGCTTGCTCTTTTTAGGGTGCGAGCGTGCGGACCAAAGCACAGGGTTTGAAGCATCGTTTTAACTGGGTGATGATGACAGCGCTGAGTGTGTTGAAAGGCTCAGAAAGTAAACCAGCATAGAGTTTTTAACCCTGTAAGTAGACTGCTCCA